AAGTTGTATAATTCCACCTGTAATAATATCTAAAATAGCTAATTCTGCAGAAATAGGAAAAAAGATTAGTGATTGTTCTACTACTGGGATAGGGGATTTGGTGTGCTAATGGGTACATCGTTCATTTATGAAGTGATTAAATATTCTAAAATTAGATTAGGGTGCTGCTTGAATATCTCCCTGAATATATAAAAAATACTTAATTATACACTTCCTTTTTATTGATTGATTGATTTGAAAGAGGAGAGAGAAACATCAATTTGTTGTTCCACTTATTAATGCATTATTGGTTGATTCTTGTATGTGCCCTGACTGGGTATCAAACCTGCAACCTTGGCATATCAAGACATTCTAACAATCTGAGCTACCAGGCCAGGGCCAATTATATACTTCTAATATGTGAATTCTAAACTATGTGAATTTTATCACAATGAAGTTCTGTAAAATTATACCTGTTAACTAAAGCCATTCAATACAGACTACTGTTACTTTCTTGAAGTTGAATATTTGCCTGAAAATTATTAATACTTTAACAGTCACTGAATGTTAATGACCTTCATTTTCCTCAGAGCAAAATATCATTTATACTGGTTTAGAATGCCATGATGTTTAAAATTTTTGCAACTATTAAACACACACACACACATACACACACACACACACTATATATATATATATATATATATATATATATATATATATATATATATATATGTGTGTGTATTTAAATGCACCAGAATCCAGAAATACTGATGAAAGTTTGAAAGTTGGAAGGCACTACCAAAGCACTTTTACTAATAGGGATAAATCCATTGAACTTATAAAGTATCTTTTAAAAGAAGCTCAACCCTTGGCTGGTTTGGCTCAGTGGATAGCGCGTCAGCCTGGGAATCGAAGGGTCCTGGGTTCAATTCTGGTCAAGGGTACGTAAAAAAAGAAGAAGAAGAAGAAGAAGAAGAAGAAGAAGAAGAAGAAGAAGAAGAAGAAGAAGAAGTTTTAAATCTTTATGAAGTTCATGAAGGATGGGAATGCAGTTAATTATTAAGCCATAATGATAATTGCAACAAAAAAATCTTATAGCACTTATCTTCCTAAATGTTCCTATATCTTTACATAAATTCTTATTAATTATAAATCTTTAATAATTAAAAGCTAATGATAAATAGTGGACTAACAGCAATGGCATGAAATGTGAATGGCACTTTAGAGACCAATAGGGGCTGCAATATGTCCTCTAAGGAGTGAAGTTAGCCTGGAAAGTTTTTTTAATGTAATTGGGCTAAGGTATCCTGGTACAGCAACCTCCTAACAGTTTCCTTATTACAACTTTAACCTTATTATGATTCCAAAGGGACTGCAAATAAGAGCAGATTTAAACTTGTTAGCATCCTTTAGGATTCCCTCAATTTGTACTTATTCTCCAAGATAGCTTGGAATTAGACTACCCCTCAGCACTAAGTTGAAAATACAAAGTGTAACAAAAAGAAGAGGCAAATATCTCTGTTACATATTCCCAGGGATAGAAATGAAATAGAATTGTATGCTTAGTTTCACATCTAGAAAGCTGCCAAGATGGCCAGACATTCTACTTTTCTAAGTCACGAAGTTACAGAAATACAGCTTGGTAATGAGCTTTATTAAAATCTTGGAGAATAACATGGACTGAATGCTTGTGTCCCAGCTGTTGAAACCTAATGTGATGGTATTTTGAGATTGGGCTTTTAGAAGGTAGTGAATTCATAATAATGGAGCCCTCAAGAATGGGATTAATGCTGTTACAAAAGACACTTCCTTACTCCTTATAAAGACACAGTGAGAAGATGGTCTTCTATGCATTAAGAAATGGGATCTTACCAGACACAGAATCTGCCAAAACCTTGATCTTGCCTCCAAAACTGGGAGAAATAAATTTTTGTTGTTTAAGCCACCAGTGTACGGTATTTTTCTATACTATAGCAACCCTAATAAACTAAGATGCTAAACCTGATTTATAATACTTCCCCAGGATGCCTTGTTTCCCCCAACCATCCACTAATTAAAAGAAAGGTGGGGTAATGATGCCCCAAGAGTTCTCTGAAAACATACTGTCCCAAGTCAAGTTGGAGGAGGTCTGGTATAATATAAAGAGAAATGCATGATGCCGAAACCGGTTTGGCTCAGTGGTAGAGCGTTGGTCTGCGGACTGAAAGGTCCCAGGTTCGATTCCGGTCAAGGGCATGTACATTGGTTGCGGGCACATCCCCGGTGGGGGGTGAGCAGGAGGCAGCTGGTCGATGTTTCTCTCTCATCGACGTTTTTAGGTCTCTATCTCTCTTCCTTCCTCTCTGTAAAAAATCAATAAAATATATTTTTTTAAAAAGAGAGAAATGCATGGAATTTTAATTGATAGATGACAATGAAGTTAATAGCTGATCTCCAGTCTCCTCTCAGCCAGCACTACACCTATTATGTCCCCAACTACAATGTGATATTGCAATATTTTACTTGAAATCCTATCTAATAAAAGATAAACATGCAAATTGACCATACCTCCACTAAGTCCACAAGCCACACCCACAAGCCAATCAGGAGCAAGTATGCAAATTAACCCAACCAAGATGGTGGTTACTTTGCATATCTGGGCAAGAGGGAAGACTGAAGACAGCCTAGAAGGAAGCCAAGTGCTGCAGAAGAGAACTAAGCTGCGGAGAAACAAGCAAGCAAGCAAGGTAGTGGAGAAGGGAGGGAAGCAGGCGGGGTTGGAGAGAAGGGAGGGAAGCAGACCACAGCAGGAAGTCCTATTGCAGGAATCTTCCTGCAACATGCTTCTGGTAGAATATGAAGTCCTAAACTAGCAATTTCATTAACTTTCTAATTGTGAGGTTGTAAATATAAGAAAATTTAAACTACGGAGCAAGCAAGGAGCCTGGCACGGATTGTGCCATTTCTTTCTTTTTTTTTTTTTTTAATATATTTTATTGATTTTGTACAGAGAGGAAGGGAGAGAGATAGAGAGTTAGAAACATCGATGAGAGAGAGTCATCAATCAGCTGCCTCTTGCACACCCACTACTGGGGATCTGCCCGCAACCAAGGTACTTGCCCTTGACCGGAATCGAACCCGGGACCCTTCAGTCCCCAAGCCGACGCTCTATCCATTGAGCCAAACTGGTCCCGGCGGATTGTGCCATTTCTTGATACAGCATTCTTGAAAAGTAGGTGTTACTAACCATATTATACAAATGAGGAAACTGTCACTTGCCCGAAATCACACAAGTAGAAAGTGGCAGAGCCTAGATTGAACCCAGGTATATTAAGCTCTAAATCCATGCTCGAAATTATGTCAGACTGCTTTTCTTTAAAAATATTACTCTTTAAAAATTAGCTAAGTTTTATTACACTTAAAGTTATTTTATGTAAATTAAATCCCTTTAAAAGTTTTTTTCAGGGAAAAATAGAGACTATGAAAAGGTATAACTATAGGATAAATTGTCCTTATGGGAAAGGTTTCAGCTTATGAAAAATTAATTTTTCAGCTTATGAAAAATTAAAAATTTAAATTTTACTCACAGACCTCCAAATACTTTAATGCATTTAACATTGTTAGGGTTTATGGTAAAGCAGGAGAAAAAATGATATATATCTGAGTTGTATTGTGGCTCTCACATGTACTGGCTGTGTGATCCTGGACAAGTTATTGGAATGTGGATCAAGTATCTGTATGTCTAGATAGCCACAGAGATTAAGTGAGATCAAGTATATAATGTATAATAACTGATGATGCCTGTGTAAAACTTTCAACAATGCTAAACATATTGTCAATATTGTTATTAAAAACAAAACTGAAGGGGAGAAAAAGTAAAAAAATAAAAGCAGGGAATGAAAGGGGTGTTGAGGAGGAACTTTATGGTATGATTCAATGTTAGTTTAAGTATGCTTTAGGAAAGAGCAAATACAGAAAAATTGGTAGACTCTCAATAAAAATTATGACTAATGATGATGATAAAGTCCTCTTCTGTTAAGATAGGTGCCAGGGGGATAGATCTCATACTCTAATATTACTTTTCATTTTGAAGTAGAGTATTATAAAATGAAGGGAGATAAGGTAAGTTTATTTTTTATATTAATTGAGAATAGCCAGGAAACATCTTAAATTCAGATAAAATTTAAATATTGTGTTTGAACAAATTAAAGTCTAGCTAGTAGCAAGGAAAAAAAGGCAAATATTCATGCTCTGCAATTCAAATTCTCTGAAACAGATTTTGAAGAGGTGATCTATGACTTTAAAGGGTGTTCTAAGAAAGTTTTATACCTCACTCTTGAGAATATTTGAAGCACATGTAGATAATTAAATATTTGGGAAAGTAATGTAATTAATTTTTTCACAGGTACAATTTGCTTTAATTTTTATTCTGAACATGCCTTATACACATTTTTTGAAAAGATTCTGTGATTAATGTTCCACTCAACATTTAAATAAAACACTTTCTTTTAGAGAAAGGAGTTGGCTGAGTTACAGCAGGCTCTGACTTCCCAGCCATCATCACCTAGAGAAATGACTAACTTCCCTTGCAAATGTACCCAGGGAAAGCACCACTCATCCAGTGACATCTCCTCACACTACAAGTAAAAATCATTATAGGAATAAACTGTGTTCAAGGAGATGAATGTAGCCAATTTAGTCCTATTTTAGTGATGGCAAATAAGTTGCTTCCCATAAGGCTATTATTTGCTGGTCAAATCCTTTTAAATGTCAGGAGAAAGCTACCATGTTATAAAAATTATTATATTCCACAAAGAAAAAAAACACATAATTAAACATGACCAAAAAAGTGCAAGATTCTTCAAAGAGATGACCCCAAATCACCATTTTGAAGCAAAAAAGAAAAAGAAAGAAAATCTCAAAATGACTTCAAAATGTGAGTTATGGGACCCAGGTCTCAAGTCTAACTGGATACCAACACAGCTTTTTATACCAAACAATGCTTTTTAAAACCTTTATATAACAAACTTACACATTACCTGGTAATTGTTTTGGTTTTGTGATAACCTCAATTGGTTTGATGATGCAAAATGTGAAGAAAAATTATTCCGTGGTGGGTTTGTATTACTGTAAATTGTTGTAGGTACTGTATGTAATGAGGTCCGTGGTGTCAAATGGTAGTCTCTGTTTTGATACAGTACATTGTTTGACAAGTCTCTAATATTCACCATCTGTGAATTTGGCATATTTCTTCCTGGTCCTGGCAAAGCTGTACTTTGGTTCTCAGCTTGAAGGGAACTGCAACTTTCATAACATCTTGAGTAGCTTGGTATCTGTGCTCCCATCAGTGCTAACTCTTCCTCTCTAGCATATTCATCATCAGCATCTCCAGTCTCCATTGCAATGGACAAACAAGTTCCTTCTGCTGAACTAGACTTCTGTGGAGGATTTCCTCCCAGAATTCTCTGGGGGTAATCACTAACTGCCAATGAAAATACTTCACGGATTTCTAAGTTTTGTGTTCTACAGTAAGGATCTCTAATAGGTGGTTTTTGCCCACATAAGTTATGTGATGTTAGACGCGTGTGTTCAGGCTTATATGGCCTTTGAATTCCAACTGGTTCAATTTTGCAAGGTCGGTGGCAAGATGGCTTTTGAGATACCATGATATCAGAGGCTTGCATTGAAGAGCTTCCGTAGTTTTTCTTTGCATATACGGAGTTTCCAGCATTTAGCACACTTGTCTGTCTTGACAAGATAATCGTTTTTTCACCCAAGAGCAGAGAGGCATTTTTACAATGTGCTACTTGTCTTTGAACAGGAATGTGCAGCTGAAACTCAGTACCATTTTCACTGGCCGTTTTCTGAATGGGAATTTTATGTGCTTCTGTAATTTGTGTATTTGTATATTTAGTTGTTCCTTGCCTACTTAATGAATTGGCTGGACTGTATATTCCAGTCACAATGACATCATTATTGGCAGATGACCAAGAAGACTGTTGGCTTGAGGGTTGAGAAATATTAACCACATTTCTTACTGTAATGTCTGGAGCTGACAAAGAGGTACCAGAAATAGTTCCTGTTGTTGCTGCTCCTGATTCAGAATTTTTACTGCTCATTTTTCTTCTCTTATTGCCGACCCACGTCTGGAAGAATAAAAAAAAAACCTGTATATATATATATACATATATATATATATGTTATAGAAAAAATTCTTAACAAAAAAGACAAGATAAAATGATTCCTGTATGATAAATTGTATTTCCATCAGTCAGGGAACCAAGGCCTATACATATTAAAGACAAAAAAAAGAGAGATAATAAAATTAAAAATAACTAAAGTATAAGGTCCAGAATAATCAGGGACTTGTATTTAATAAATACCAAAGGACTTTGATAATGGAATTGTATTGTTGCTTCTGTCCTCAAAACCCAACCAATTAATTTATCCATAGCAAGAACTTTAAAAATGTTTATATCCTGCCGAAACCGGTTTGGCTCAGTGGTTAGAGTGTCAGTCTGCAGACTGAAAGGTCCCAGGTTGGATTCCGGTCAAGGGCATGTACATTGGTTGCGGTCACATCCACAGTAGGGGGTGTGCAGGAGGCAGCTGGTTGATGTTTCTTTCTCATAAATCTTTCTAACTTTCTATCCCTCTCCCTTCCTCTCTGTAAAAATTCAATAAAATATATATTTTAAAAAGAAATATTCACTATTATGAAACACTACAACACACATCATTGTACATGCATCCTTGTGCTATTGGTCTGTTAGAATGTTATTCTAGAAAGAAACTTGTGCTTTTTGATATTTTCAAAGTATCCTGCCATATATTTATAAGAGTTCTGCTTTCTCCACACCCTTATCAAGACTTTGCATTACCTTTTTTGTGGTCCTTTGTACTCCAGGAGTTAATAACAGGTATATAATTGCTGTTTTGGTTTAAATTACCATGGTTATTAAATTGCTTTGATAGAATTGCATATTCATTTCCTTTACTTATTTTCATATTGGGTATTTGTTTTTTAATTGATTTATAGGAGCATTTTTCTACTAAAGGTAGCAACGTTTTGTCATAAGTTACAAATATTTTCCTGTTTGTCATTAATTTATGGTAATTATTTTCTTCTTTACACTTTTGTCTCCGTACCAATTTTATGCTATAAATATGTCTTGCTTTTAGAAACAGAAAATATATTATTAATAAAATAACACTAGTGATTGGCATTCAGGAATTGATTTCAAAAATGTATTTTTATATAAATAATGTATTATAATAATCTTAGCATTATTACATTGAATCATGATTCTTCTTAAAATGTGCAATAAGAAATATTTCATTTCATAATGTCATCAATAAACTCTATAATTATTTCAAAATGTACACCAGATTATACACTACCAAAACACATTAATCTATTAAAAATTCTTAAAAAATAAATAAGTGAGAACAGTAAATGAACTAGCTTCACACAGACATGGTGCAGGATAGATTTAATATTTGGTTAACTTTTGTGTGACCAAAAGTTTTAGAAGACCACAAAAATGATCCAATTTGCTATGCTCTTTATACTATAGGCTATATTAATGCTGCTGCAATACTATAAATAAAAACTATCATGTATTAAATACTCATCATATGTTTTTATAGATATTATCTCCTTTGGTAGGTGTTACTTTAAAATTGTGTAAGTAAAGAAACTGAGATTTAGAAATGTTAAGTGACTTGTGGATACCTGCCACCAGAATTTAAAATCAATTTTCTTGATCTCAAAACATTTTTCTTCCACTATGGTGAGAAATTCCTGAAACAGTCATCTCTGTTGGCCATTTATACTTTGGTAATTAATATTTCTCTAATAAAGAAATTGTTCCAGAAACTGAGATGGCTCTATTTTGCTTTATATGAGGCTGTGGAAATTTTAAATGAACTCTGACTTAGTATTACTAAACCGTAGAAGTGAGAATTATATGCAGAGGGACAAATGAATATAAATGTCATAGAATAAGACAGGAGAAAAAATCTAGAAGGTTTTAAAGTATATAATCAAGAGAAATATCTAAAAAGAAGGTAGGGGAGGATGAGGGTAAGGGGGAGAGATCAACCAAAGGACGTGTATGCATTCATATAAGCCTAACCAATGACACAGACAATAGGGGGGTGAGGACATGAGTTGGGGGGAAGAGGGTTATAGGGGAATAAGGACATATATGTAACATCTTAATCAATAAATAATGTTTTTTTAAAAAATTATTTAGATAAATGTAATTTCGATGTACGGTTCAAAAAGGTAAATTTTACAAATATTCCAAATAAATTATTGTGATATGGTTTTTTCAAGTATGAAAAATATGCAAAATAATTATAAGGCACAATTTTCATAAACATATATAAGCATTGCATTTAAAAATTATAAACATGAAACCATAGTTAATTGGTAAAATGTGAACTCAAGAGCTACTACATTGGAAGAGCAGCTCGGCAATATTTCTGAGAAAACAAATAAATAGTCTACCATGTTCTCATCACAATACCAGAATATTTATCCTAACACAGAAATTTAAGAGTGATCCCAGTGCATTGCTAATTTATAACTTATTTACATAGTGCAAATATTATTTACATAAATCCCTAGGTATTTATATTATGTACCTATCACAAAATAAAATTCAGTAGAATATCATATGCATATGACACTCAGCTATCTAACCTCAGAAGACAGACAACCTAGATGAAACAAGACCCATGTATTTTATTAAAAAAATCACTGACTTTAAAATTTACTTTATTTTGTTTTATATATAACTGGAGTCTCGGTGCACTAATTCGTGCACAGTTAGGGTCTGGTTGACCAGCCCCCAAGTGGGGTGGGCTGGCCGGGGGAGAGGCTGCAGGCAGTTGGTGGGCTGGCCCCATTCCCTATCAGGTGGAGGGTGATCAAAGGGTGGAGCCAGCCAGGGGGAGGGGCTGCAGGTGGTTGGTCAGCCCCACCCCCTGATTGAACTCTTAATTGAACTCCTGGTATAGTGGACAATGAAGGTATTAGCCTTTTATTATATAGGATTTAATAAACTTGGTATATTATATTCTATAATAAGTTAGAAATCACAAATATGAGGGGCCTTGGTGATTGGGTTTGCTTTTGGAGACACTTTATTAGCACCAAAGCTAAGAATGTTTACAAAATGCATATTGCTCACTAAAATGGAGAAAGAAACACACACACATACACATACTTGAGAATTGATGTGAGAAATCATTAGACTGGTGTATTTTAGTAAAGGGGAAAGTCACTCCACATACCATAGCAAGTTGTGAGCATTATTATGTGAGCACAGTACAATAATTGATTTCCATAATGAAACTTGGAGTCAAAAAGTAAGGGTTTAATTATTTTCAATATTATCTACTGAAGTAAAGTAATAAAGTAGGTATTAAAAATATGTCCACTTAAAATGTTAAAAATAAGGAAAATCATTGCCTGATGGTTCCAAATAGCTGAAAATAAAATTTCCTAAAAGTCATTCACTTACAGAATCTGAAATTTACCAGTGCTTATAGAATACACATTATTTTTCTTTCCAAAGGCCTTATTGGTGTGAGTGAAAAAATGCGTCAAACAAATAGATATATTAATTTGGGATTTGGACTAGGAAAGTGATACCAGATAAAAAATGGAAAGATGCTGAAACCAGTTTGACTCGGTGGATAGAGTGTCTGCCTTCAGACTAAAGGGTCCCAGGTTTGATTCTGGTCAAGAGAATGTACCTTGGTTGCGGACACATCCCCAGTAGGGGGTGTATATGGGGCAGCTGATTGATGTTTCTCTCTCATCGATGTTTCTAACTCTCTATCCCTCTTTCTTCCTCTCTGTAAAAAATCAATAAAATATATTTTAAAAAATGGAAAGATACTTGGGTCATCACTCCTTAGTCTCCATAAGATTTTTTTTCAGTTTTCTCTTAGAAATTCCCTACTTATTTTCCTTTTTTAAGACCTTCCTCTTTGTTTTCCTGTACCATTACCCCATCATACTTTTATATTTGCATGGGTATTTTAACCTTTAAATTCTATTTACATTAAGATTATGTTGTATAAAATGAAGAAAAACACAACAAACACTATATTATAAATGAGAAAAGTAATTTATGTTTCAAAAGAACATCCTGATCAAGCAAAATACTGAGGGGAGGTTTCGTTGTGAATGATGAGTTGATAAAGAACTCTCTTTTTGTCTGATTACGAAAGCTACCAAAACTGTGTTGGAATTTAGATTTGGAACACCAAATTTCTCTACACTCTCCTACAATAGAGAGAATGAATTTGTTTGACACAATTCCTTGTAATGTATATAACATTTTACTTGTAAGATTACATTCTATGAATTTATTTCTTTTTATTTCTATAGTTTGTTTTAGATTTCACATCATTTGAAGCATAAATATAAATGTGTGTATTTTAACACTCTCAATATTTACGTACAATAAGTAAGTTATTAGGAAAGATTCAATAACAAATTTGAAATATGAAAGGTCACAGTCCACAAAGCAGCTACCTAAGAAGGCATTTCACTTTAAAGCAATGGTAAAATAAAACGGGAAAAAAGGGAAGAAAGAAAAAAGTTACCATAGATGCAGTGGGAATGAGTTTGTACTTATAAAGTAAAATCTCATGAACTTGAAATATTATACACTTTACTAGTGGCCCAGGGCACAATATCTGTGCACATTTAAAGGGGATTAATTAGAAGAAATATTTTAATATTGCTATTTGCCCTTTCTCTATAATAAAAGTGTCAGTAATGAAAGAAAATTAGTAAAATGTATATGAAAACTCCCTCCTGTCAGAGTCTGGGGCATGCCTTGGGACCTAGAGTCAAGTCCCCACCCACCTGTGGCACCTCAAAATCATGCAAGACCACCCAGACCCAGCTGCCCCAGCCCCATTGGTCAAGATCCAAACCCGGCCGGCCCCACTCCCATCAAGCTCAGCTGGGCAAGGCACACAGCCTCAGGTCCCGTGGCCTGGCACTGAGTGGAGGTATAGCCTCAGGTCCCCCATCAAGTCCCACTGGGTTGGGGACACAGCCTGAGGTCCCCTGTCAAGCCCTGACAGGCTGGGGGCATGGCCTGAGGTCCCATGTCAAGCCCCCCTGGGCAGGAGGCACAGCCTTGTGTCCCCTGCCCAGGCCCAGTACCACGCAGCCTCAGGTTCCTGCTGATTGCTCCTTAAGGCTCATTAGGGGAACTCAGCCTCCACTGCAGGTGCAGCCATCTTGTGTTACAAAAACCCTCCTCCACTGTGGGTGCTGCTAAATTTGTGATGGTGTGATGGTCAATTTGCATATTCCCTCTTTATTGGATAGGATATTATTTTTTCTAAAGCAATTAAACATTTTTCTCTCAGGTTCACTAAAGAGCATTTCAAATATGAAATTTTAAGATATCAATAGGAAAAATTTCTAATTTTATGATGGTTGATCTCAGTCAATAAATAATAAATATCCTGAATATCACCATACCCCTAGAATTGGTGGCACAATTCCCTTATTTCAAGATAAATATATCATTTAGTTTTTTAATAATTATTCATTTCTTTATTGATTAAGATATCACATATTTGTCCTCAACCCCCATTCCAATCCCTCCCACTAATGCCCCACCCCCCTAATTTTGCTTATCAAGATATTTTTATCTTTATGGTCTTTGAAAGTTCCTCTGAAAAAACAAACAAACAAAAAAAGACATTCTTTCTCTTTACCAAATTAGTCTGATGATGACAAGGATGGGAGGAAGTTGCTAATATTTAAATCCCTAAGGCTTCACGCGAGCAGGATTTGTAGCATGTCCAGAAAACGTAAAAGGACCTATGCACGTAGTGAAATCTGTGACTGGTTCTGATAGATTTATCTCTTGCCTCTTCTCTATCACCTTCTCATTGCCTTTCCAAATGTTTGACAGCTCTGATTTTTACAGATGAATATGATTGTGATAAAAAAAAAACTTTCCTCCCTTGTGATTTATTGTCCTTCACTTGCTAACCCATTAAATTGCATGCATTTTAATTAAAAGACAGAGGAAGTATTCATAAGAAAGTCTAGATTTTCCTAAAAAGACAAAAATACTCGAGTTATAAATGCCTGAAAATATGCTTTTTTCTTGTCTTTAGACAAAAGAAAATACGCTAGATATACAATAGTCCCTCAAGTAAATGCCTTTTTTACTGATATAATTTTGTAGGGCTATCTATATTAATTCTAGTCTAAAGACAGCATAAAATCAACAACTAATTTTAAATGTATTCATTAGTTTGAAGGACTGGGATATTTAAATATATGATTAAATCCAACTTATTTTTAGTTTCTTCAAGGTATTCATTCATAGAAACAAATAATAAATAATTAACTTGGTTTATTTTTAAATTAATATATTTATACCAGGGAAATGAATCTTTATAAAGTTAGTGACTTTATACCCTCATAGTTTTTCTTATATTAAGCAATTATAACTTGGAATAAAAAGCTATAAATTCAAGAATGTAAGACCTCAATACTTACCCTGACTACACTGAAGTCCAGCTTAGTCTCCTGTGCACACTGTAATATTAGCTGAAAGCAATTTTTACTTTGATTTGTCATTCCATTTTCATAATAACGCTGTAAAATCCTTTGTTGTTCTACAGTAAATACAGAACGTAGATTCATCTAAAAATAAAAGAAAATACTCTGAAAATTGGGGGGGGGGGGAACTGTGTATGTATAGAATTTACAAGTTTTTAAAAAACCACTTCAGTGCTTTGAAGCTGCAAGATATTTTAAAGTCAATTAATCCCCATTAGTGGGCAAAAATCTGTGTGCCAAACTGAGACAGGTTTGCACTGAAAAATTATACATAATGAAAATACATTGAATTTGCTTTAAAAAAAAAAACACACAAACATTAAAGACAATAAAGCGAAAGCCTTATCTGGGTAGTGTCTTTCACTGAAATAAATATTTATGGCTAATAAAGCCAGAGATGGTGGTAGCCATACGTGGCCAATTATCAACAGGGGCACTCACTGTTCTTTGTCAAGCAAGGCATCTGGTATATTTCTTATAGCCAGAAGCTGTGCTCTGGAACAAAAAAAATAGTGCCTTATTTTCCTTTCTTTCTGGGTAAAAGGGTACTTTTGATATATTAAAACAAACCTCCTTTATAAAGCTTGAAAATAAACAAGTTTTAGTGACTGAAAATTACTTTAGGTGATGCTAAAATAATTATTTTAATAACTATATAGTATACAAATCAAGAGTCAAAATCGTACTTTTTACTAAAAAGAACCCATATAAAAAGTATTTTAATTAAATTAACACCACCATAATTAGAAAAGAGAAATTTAGAAAATACTTTATCCTTCCCATCAATATATAACATACTTAATATTAAGGGAAAACAACTCTGGTAATATCAGAAGTAAAAAGCAGGTCAAACTCTTTTTAAAAATGATTAATTTTAGTAGTGCATTTTATATAAAATACTTATAATTAGATTAAGGCAATTTTAGGTTCTTGTTAAAAGCTGTCACACTGAATTTATTGCTAAAAGTTGACAGTCAGAAAAAAAACCTTTCCCAAGGAAAGTGTCTCTCACAAGTAGAAAAACAACAACAACAAAACAACAACACTATAAGCCAAACAAAATGGAAATAATTCTAGTATACTAGTTATGGGGGAAAACACACACACAAAAAAAAAACAAGTACACTGACATAAAAATTAACTTCCCTTTGTTTGAATATTTTAAATTATAAAGCATCTCATAAAGAAATTAAAGACGACAGTCCTATAGCAATCCTCTGCATTTGTATACCCAACTTCCTTTCTTGCTCATACAAACATCTTCCTATCTAATGTCTACCAATCTGATGAAAGAAAGTCAGTTATTGGAGAGGACACCAGAAAGATGAGAGTAGAGTTTCTTCCTGGGACATTAAGAAATAAAAAACTCCACTAATTTTCTGAAGGGTTATCTATGAAAAAGTATAAACCTTTTATGTGAAATCCGACCAATTTTCAAGGATGTTGGGTCCAGAGGACAGCATCCATCAAAGCAATATTTACTATTATGGCTGCCAGCTTTTAGAGCACATTGTTTTTGCTGAGACAAAAGATGGAAGTCAAATACCTGAAAATCTTCATCTAGTGTGGATTTAGATGCAAAGAACTTTGGAATGAGTTCTGAGGAAGGGAATAAACTTAAATTCACTAATGCATATTCAATGAAAAGGCACTGATCATTTTCTGCAAGGCTGTGAAACCATAAAAGGCCTAGAGTACAACATACGGGAGATAGGTGTGATGATACCTGACCTAATAATATAGGAATATTTTTCTATTGGCTGGCTAAAACTGCTACATTTACCCAAATGTGATATGAATCTTCAAAAGCACAGCTGGTCCTTTGTCACTAATACTAAGAGACAAATATAGGTAACCAGTACTAAACAGATTTCTGGAGTCAACAACTCTAACACTAGTGTAAACTTTTTAGTTTTTCCCTTAAATTCAGTAACAACATCAGGAAGTCTACTTCACTCAAGAGATCTACTATTTTTCTTTCAAATTGTAGCAAGTAAACAACCCTTATAAGCAAGATAATTTGTCATTACCTCCATCCACCCTAGTTATTTTGGTCTATTAAGTGGAACGATAGTGAATGACTATAATACCAAAACTTAATCATTTGCACAAAAATTGAGAGTTGTAAAAACCTTCAATTTAAAAGTTTGGCTCTTATCCTGTATATCCTACCTAATAAAAGAGTGATATGCAAATTAACCATCATTCCTCTACACCCACAAGCCATGCCCACCAGCCATGCCCACCAGCCAATCAGAGCAAGCATGCAAATTAACCCCAACCAAGAAAGCTGCAGCCACAGAGAGCAGCTGAGAGGCTTGGATTTTCCCGGCAATAGAGGAAGCCAAACTTTCCACTCACCCTGGCCAGCCTAGGCCTCCACTCAAGGATACAAAGTTTCAATTATAGAAGATAAATCCCAAGAAAAATGACCATGGCCACTGAGCTGGAGAGAACAGGCTAGGGTTTCCCCCAGCAATGGAGGAAACCAAACTTTCCACCTGCCCTTGCAGCCTAAGCCTCCACTCAAGGATACAAAGTTTCAATTATAGAAGGTAAACAAATCCAAAAAGAAATGGCAGCAGCCACAGAGTGAGCAGGAGGCTTGGCTCCGCTCCAGGCTACAAAGTTTCAATTGTAGAAGGTAAATAAATTCCAGATACCAGGGCCTCTGCTTGGGTTGACAAGGGGGTGTGGCCAGCCTGCAAACCACCACAGGCCCCTTATCCAGGCTGCCCCACGCCCCAAGGGAACCCCCACCCTGATCCTGGACACCCTTCAGGACAAACCAGCTGGCCCCCATCCGTGCACCAGGCCTATATTCTATCTAATAAATTAGTAATATGTAGATTGACCATCACTTCAGCACACAAGGTGGCTGCCCTCATGTGGTCAAAGATCCTGCCCCCATGTGGACACAAGATGGCCACCACAAGATGGCCAGCAAGGGGGGGGGCAGTTGAGAGGCACCAGGCCAGCAAGGGAGGGCAGTTGAGAGGGACCAAGTCTGCAAGGGAGGGCCGTTGGAGGCGATCAACTCTATAGGGGAGGGCAGTTAGGGATGGCCAGGCCGGCAGAGGAGGGAAGTTGGGGGCAAACAGGCTGGCAGGGGAGCAGTTAGACATCAATCAGGCTGGCATGGGACTGGTTAGGGGGTGATCAAGCTGGCAGTCAGAAGTGATTAGGGGCAATCAGGAAGGCAGTCAGGAGAGCAGTTGGGAGCAAGCAGTCCTGGATTGTGAGAGGGGTCCCAGATTGGAAACGGTGCAGGCTGGGCTCCCCCCCCCCCTAGTGTGGTAGTTAAATAATAATCCAATATTTTTATAAAAATGGAGGTCCACTGGTTTGGGGTAGGGAAGGTAATGGAATTATGGGATTAAATTCTGAAATAAGTCATTTAGCTTTACCCCAAGATTTATTCTTTGCACTGTACCACCCACTCAGCATATGCCATCCCACAAGAATAAGTCAACCTGTGACCTACTCTCAGCTCCACTGTGATATATTGGGTAAATCACTTGATTTCTATAAGCATCCATTTCCTAGTCTATAAAATATTAGATTCTATGACATTTTACTTTTCAGTCTGGATTGGTCCAATCATTTGGGATATGCGAACTGATTTTTCTTAAATTATAAATTGTGTTACAGTAATAATGTTTTTCTATTTTTAAGTATAACTAGGCCCTTTTGTTTATAGTATTTAGGCATGGGATTTGTTAGATTGCTCTAAGCTTTAAAATTTGATGTTTTAATGAGGACCTTGAGCCATTGAGAAAATATTAAATTATGCTCAGTATATTGTATTCAAACAAGGAGAATGATGAGTAACATATTTTAGGTTTATTGCTTCAGAAGTACTTGAAAAATAGTTTCTAGGAATGACTACTTCTTTAGAAGTTCCTGATAGCTAAGGATATATTTTTGCATGGGAATATATCAGGTAAATTCCTATATAACATTGTATACATCTGATGTCATACTTAAAATCTGCTTTAATAATGCCCTTAATAATGTCATAACTGGTTAACTAATTTGCAAAGTACCAAATATTTTACTCATAAATACTCATTCTTGAAAAATATGATATTAAAATGGGGAATCCATAAAATTCAATTCAAATATTACACATTTTTCCAACAATAAAAATTTGAAGTTTGTATAAGCCATTGTTTTTCGTGTTATTACTGTTTTTGTTTAAAGAGTTTAACCTAGGTTAATATACCACCTCAACTATCTTAATCTTGCCCAATATGTCTCTATTAACATTGTCCTTTTAATTCATTATTATTCATCTTTAAATTTACATACAATAATCACTCTTTTGGTGTATAGTTTTATGAGTTAAGACAAATATATGTATATAGTAGTCATGAAACCACCTCCGCCATAAAAACACCGAACAATTTTATCATTCCAAAATAATTCCCTTATGCTGCTTCTTCATAATCAATCCCTCCAGACACATAGGCCCTGTCAAAAGCTAATCTGTTTCTATAATTTTAATTTTTATAGAATGCCATAATAATGGAGTTACACATATGTATCTTACTGAAACTAGCTTCTTTCATTGACCACAGTGCATTGGATATTTAACTGTGTTTTATGTATCAGTACTTTGTTGCTCTTTATTTTAGAGTAGTATTCCCTTGTATGGATGTACAATGGTTTATCCATTCATCCATCAATGGACATTTGGGCTTTTACAAGTTACTGACTATTATTAATAAAGTTGTTAAAAACATTTATATTCAGGTTTAGCTCTGCAAATAAGGTTTAATTTCTCTTGAGCAAATACTCTGGATTGTAATTTCTAGGTCATATGGTAAGTATATGCTTAACTTTATAAGAAACTGCTAAACTATTTTAAAAAAGTAAAAAAGTATACAATGTGTAAAAAAGTATACAATGTTTTTCTTAATAATATTCTATGAAGTTTCTTTTTGTTATTTTTATCTCCTCACCAGCATTTATCATATTTGTTTGAAGTTAGTCATTCTAATATCTGTATAATTGTGTATTATTGTTATTATTAATATGGTTTTAATTTGTATTTTCCAAGTGACTAATAATGTTGAGCATCT